TTCTTCGAAAGTCACTCCAAGAAACGAATAAAGAAAATTAAGAATAAAAGTATTTAAGTAATTTTATTATTTTACTTACTTCATGTTACCTAATAAATATTCAAACACAAATTTTCAACTTATTATCTTACTTTCTCTCATCTTTCACTACCTACCTTTCATTATCTACCTAATAATTTAATACTCTGTAAAACTTTTGCTCCCTTAGTCCTCTTAAGACTGAGATATCGAGCCATTTATAAATTTTCCCATGCTTTGTTCGACCACTCGATGAGTTGTTCCCGAGGATTCCTCGATGTGCTACAATAACTAAAGGGTATTTCTTTTTGGGTAATTTACATAAATAGGACTAAAACATAATGACTTTCTCAATATAGGACCATATGTTTTTATTTTCCAATGTAGGACTATTGGTCATTATCTATTAGTCATTATTCAACTAAATGTCCAGCATCATTTGGGTTTTATTCTTCTCACTAGTCATTATTAAGTCTTATTTAGAGAATAAAAAATTTTAAGTCCTACATTGAAAAATTAACTACTCGTATGTTTTATTCCTATTCAATGCAAATTTCACTTTCTGTTTTTCTTTGTTGTTCTTCAAGTCCACATTATTTTTATGGATTTTACTATGTGGACATCATAAAAATGTTAGGCCTATTACAATTTACAAAAGCAAGAGATTCATATCATAAATTCATGAAAAATTTGAAAATATCCACATTTTACTAAAAAAAAATTAAAAAAATTAAATATACTTTGATTTTATAATTCATGAAAGGGAAGTTAACCACTAATTATTAAAAAATAAATATATAATAATATTCAATTTCCAATACTGTGCGGTTAACTTCCCTTACAACAATTATTAAATAACAAAGTATAGACCTTTATATTAATGGCGAGTATGTGAATTTACCATTCTTATGTGAATGAGGAAAAATGGTGTTAAGGAAACGGTGTGGGAAAAAATAATACTCCGTATATCTCATTCATTGTCTATAGGTGTAATGCTTACTTTGTTACTTTCTCCCTCCCTTTTCAATCAGAATTAATATATTTTGACCTCAAATTAAATGAAAATGATATTAGATATAAAAATAAAAATAGTTTTATTCGATTTATTATATGGATTCTTTTTAAAATAATATTTTATGTAATTAATATACAATATCTATATTATTTAATTATAGGTCAAAGGTTAAAAATATCATACTATAAAAAGTCAAAACTAGATAAATACTCAGTAACGGAGGTATATTTCTCTTTTGATTGGTATATTTATCTTATAGATTAGGACCATGCTAGCGTGCCACTACATGGGTGCACCCATGGTAGCACCCATGTGGTGGCACTCTAGCATTTTCTTATTAATACCGTATAATATGCCAGCATAAAAATATTCCCTTCACCAAGTCATCCCTAGGAATCTGATTTGATCCCTTGGTGTGAAAGGTTGAGTTCTTAGAGCATGAACAATAATGAGGCAAAAATGAAATGTCATACGTTGACGTGGAGCATTTCAACCAATAAAAAACAGTCCAGTCAACGAGTGTCACGTGAGTGGAGTGGCATGTCTTGCAGTGGCAAGTCATTGTTTTCATCACTTTTTTTCATATTTTTGCCATATTTGAATTATTAAAAATAACATTACCTATATATTTTTATCATGAAAATATTTCTATTTACTCAAATAAATATTTTTTTTATGTATTTTAATTATTAAAAATGTTTTTGTTACCTACTCCATATTTTTTATTTTAATCGTGAAAATATTTCTATTTACTCAAATAAATAAATTTTTTTATGTATTTTAAATATTAAAAATGTTTTTGTTACCTACTCCATATTTTTATTTTAATCATGAAAATATTTCTATTTACTCAAAAAAAAAAAAATTTTTTATGTATTTTAATTATTAAAAATGTTTTTGTTACCTACTCCATATTTTTCTGATTAGTTTTAATCATTAAAAATTATCTTTTATAAATAAAAGATGGAATGCCACGCTCCTACCACTCCATGCATGGTGAAATTGGACAGCCACGCGAGTCAAATTCATTTTCCATCTCCTTTGTGCTGATGTGGCGTGGCAAGGCAGCCAATATACTCGCCATTGTATTTGCTCTTATATGGGTCCTTTCAGTCGAGTTACTTTGTACCCCGATTTACTTTGGATCATCATTGATCCCTTTAAACAATAATAATTCATTAAATAAAAAAGTACATTAAATAAAACAAATTAAATTAAAAAGTTACATTATGAAAAAATGCCTAAAATTACTTGAATGAGTAAAAAACTTAAAAACTACATTAAATTGAGCGACTAAAAATATATTCAATCAAATTCATTCTCTCGACTTCGAATTTCTTGGCGATTTTTGTGTTTCTTTTGTTCATCGATTTTTTTGTAGGTAGATATACCCCCTCGTCCGGGATGTAGTGACAAATTGTAAACCCAAAATAATTAATAAGATTTCATTAATTAATTAAATTTAAACCGTAATAATTCATTAAATAAAAAATACATTCAATAAAAAAGTACATAAATTTAAAAAACAACAAAAAATTACATTAATAAAACACTAAATCAAATTATATTTAGCTTTAGTGAATATATAGAGTAAAAAAATTTGGTTTATATATATATTTTATTTTTAAAAAAGAGAGTGAATATAGAAAATAAAAAAAATCTTTTTTAGCTCAATGGTATTAATGTAATTATTTTATTGTTCTCCAATGGAGGGCACAATTTTTTTTCTTTCTCCGTTTAAAGTTTGACGTAGCAACTATGAAGCCCCTATAACGCTCATGGGGGCGGTGTTTAACGCCCCCAAAGCGTTAAAACGGCAAAAATGCCTAGGGCGTTAAAGGTATTTCCGGTGCTCTCACAATTACTCTGTGTGAAGCATTTGGCAAAAAAAATTTTGGGTTTCGTACCGTAGTATTAATTTTATAAATATTTGGTATTATTTGATTTTAGTTATATTTAAAGTTGTTTCAAATTTGATTTGGTCTAATCAAATTTTATTTTAAAGCTATCTATACGCTACAGCACTCTACCGCCGCTCAATCCAAATCAGCAGTCATTCAACGCCAAATCATCATTGATAGCACTTACCATTTCACTCACTTCACACTTGTAATGTCTCACATCCACTACAATGATGACACTTTTTTTAAAATGTTCACTTAATTTTATTCAAATTAAATTATATCTTTCATAAAATAATAATTATAATTTAAAAAAATTTATTTTCGCGTTTAATCTATTTTATTTCGTTATTATTTTTTCTCCATTTTGGATTAACTAATTTTTTCGGTTCTTTTATTATAACAATTAAATACACCAAAAAAACTAATTAGAAACTCATTAGTTACTTCAATTAAAAAACCATTAGATAATTAAAACTCATAAAATTAAGTGAATAACGTTTTATGGGTTAGTCTGAGAAAATTGCAAACAAAACAAACATCAAAATTCATTCATGAAGGTTACTAGTTTCAATTTTCGATTTCACCAAGAAAACGAACAACTGAGAGAGGAGTGATGATTTTGGTTTTGGGTTCAAAGCTTCAAACTCAGCGACGAGTTTGGGAAAGGAGTGCGAGAGGACGGAGGAAGCTTAATTAAGAAGAGAGAGGAGCATGAACTTACAATTTTATCTACATTTTTAATGGAAATGTTAACAAAAGACTATTCGTGAAAAATAATACTCCGTATAATAATTGGAAACTAAAATATCTATATTTGATATTTAGGAACTAAATATGTAAAACAAATTATAACTGATGATCTTTTATGAAATTTACTCATAATTAAATAAAAAATCATGATGTACATTAAAGAAAAAATAATACACGTAACGCTAATTTGAATTTCAATTTTCAAAGAAATAAGGAGATGTGTTAAACAGAATATGGTTGCATACATTTTGAACCCTAGAGCCCAACAAAATTGAGATTATCTTGTGTTTGTTGTTGTAAGTTCGTAATTGAATGTCTATAATTAATTATTTTTTGGAATGTTATTAAATCTATATAACATTTGGTCATACTTTAATGGAATTTAATGGCATATAAAGAGTCAACGCCTTTGTTAGGACTCGTCTAGGTCAAGTTCTTCATGAATCTAGGAGAATGAACTTCCTACCACTCAAGTCAAGGGAGAAATTCAATATCTATAATTAATACTCACTTAATACAATAAACTTCATGCAAAACTCAGTGGAAAAGGTTTACATTGGATGTCCTTCCAGCCGCAACCTATTATTATTAGCTTATATTCATCATTGAAGTTATTCTTCATTAAGTAATAAGAAGATTGTGCTTTTAAAATGATTTTATTTGTAAATAGGTATAAGAACAAAAGATACAACTAATATATTTAAAAGATGAATAAAATATTTTATAAAACAAATGATGATATGACTATTTTATCAAACGATCAATGAAAAGATATACTAAAACAAAATTTATCGAAAACTTGTAATAGTAAGTAGGCCAATTTTTAAGGATCGAGAGACTATGCGTCATTGTTATATAAGAGATAATATGTAAAGGACCAAATAGAAACAATTTAGTCCTTGTACTATTTATTTTTGTTCAATCAAGTCATTGTCTTCATATGTCTCTAATATATTGCCCTAAGTTTTTAACGATGACGTCAAATGTTATTATAGATCACATGAAACGGTTGTATTGGCATGTTAATTCATACTTATTTTTTTTAAAAAAAATCTTTTTTACTAAAAAAAAGATGCATAGTACAATTTTTTATTTATTTTCTTTAATGAAAAATTAAATAATAAAATTATTTATTATATAATGAATAAAATTAGATTAAATGTATGATTGATTGTGTTAAACAGTATTTTCATGTCATTTATAGTAAAATTTGACATCATCATTAAAAATTTGGAACAACATATAAGAATTAAATGAGCAGAATGACCTGATTGAACAAAAATAAATACTACAGGGACAAATGATTCAATTTTAGGTACAGTGACTAATTTAAATATTTTTACATAGTACAGAAACTTCTATGTATTTTGTCCAAAAGTTTCCTCACCTTGTTTGGTTGGAAGAGAGAAAGGAAATGCATGTAACTTTTGTCCAAAGTTTTAATTACTATACGCCTAAGAGCAAGAGGAAAGAAGAAAAAAGCAGAACTAATTTCCCATTCCCTCCCTTCCAACCAAACATGCCCTTAGTGTCTGAACCCTTCAAATCCATTTATATTAAAAAAAACATTATACTAATAAGAATCATTTTTCCCCTTTGTGGAAATGATTCTAGTGCACTGTCATGGCGTTTGAAATTCTACCCCCGGAAACTACAAACGTTCTTCAACCAATTCAATGCATCTGTATAAAACGAATGCAAGAGGGTTTAGGGAACATATCATATGGGATGCCAGTTGATCGCTATCGGTCTGGTTCTCCGCCGTGATTCCGGTGACTAATGAGCGAAGGGGCAAGAACCATTCACCGAGCGCCTTTCGTAGTTTCTCCTTGGAGAGCACACCGGTGTGGTTCGTGTTCCCTGTTTCATGAAACACAGCCAGGGCAACTATTGGTTCCTCTTTCATTCAAAAAAGTAAAAAGATTGATTTAATATAACCACAATTCAATGGCATGGCTGCAGATAATATACTTGGACATATGAGATTGGACATAAGAGAGTTTAAAAGGACAGAAATTCTATTAATTAATTAATTAATTATTTTTCTTTTTGTTGCTTGTGTCAGCTCACTATAATGAAAACTTTCTTACCAGATGACTCTGAAATCAGTGCAAATCTGTAGAGGTTGAGTGCTGCCAGAACCTGCATGTCAATACAGGAACGGAAATGGGACAATTCAGTGTTAAACAACTTTCTAGTTCATGTTTGTTTGGATATATGGGAATATTCAAGAAGTCATACATCACAACTTATTACTGAATATTTAAAAATCCTTGATATAATATCATAACACAAAGTTCACCAAAACACAAACATGAAAGATTTAGTTTTCATGTAGGTGAATTTTATACACCCAAATTTTGATTCCAATTTACATTTTAGACACCATACATGAAAAAATATATATACGGACTGATGCGCAAATGAATCTCTCGAGACTAACTTTTGGTTTGGATAACCAAGCTCACTTGAAAAGCACAGCATGTAAATCGTTTCAGTTACATTAGCACCATTAGATGTTTTTGTAAAGGAAACTAATTAAAAGCTCCATAGCAAACAGCACATAAGCCAGCCACACAATTCTAAGAAACCAAAATGTTAGCTGTGCTAGGACCAAATGTGCTACCATTGTCAATATAGGAGAGATATTAAAGTGGATATTCCACAAATCACGCACACACTTACTGCATCAGTGTACTCCGGAAGGCATGGAGGGCCTCCCGTTGGGGGTTTCAAAACCAACTCCACTAAGTCAAGAATGCCATCATCCCAAAATATTGGGTGTTTTGAAGCATTAGCTTTAGATTTCAACCCTATTTTGTGCATTGAGGTTCTTTTACTGTGTTCTGCAAGCATTTCCCTTCTTACAAGATCTAAAAGAATTCCAATCTGCACAAATGATGTATATTTAGTACAGTTCTAAACACTAATCCAAAGCTCAATTGAAACGCAAACAAATCAAAGTACTTTCAGTGAAACTCTTGTAAATGTCAAATGACGTACCATGGAAGAAGAGTTGCTACTCTTTACCAAAGCTTTTAAGATATCAAACCTTAGAGAACTTGGGATGTGAGCAAGCACCTGTTGTGTAAGGCAACCAAACCAGCTTTAAGATATGCAAACATAATATCAATTTCTAATAGTAAATGACCTTCATATGGTGTTTATTGATCTTGAGAAGGCGTACGATAGGGTGCCAAGGGAGGTTTTATGGAGGTGCCTTGAGTCGAGAGGAGTTCCCATCGCGTACACTCGCGCGATCAAGGATATGTACGGTGGGGCTAGGACTAGGGTAAGGACCTCCGGGGGCGACTCTAAGTCATTCTCGGTAGGGATGGGGTTGCACCATGGGTCTGCCCTTAGCCCTTTTTTGTTCGCCTTGGTGATGGACGTCCTGACACAAGGTGTTCAAGAAGGGGTCCCATGGTGCATGCCTTTTGCGGATGATATTGTGCTTATCGACGACACGCGTGAGGGACTAAACGATAAGTTGGAACTATGGCGCCTTGCCCTTGAGACCAAAGGATTCAGAATAAGTAGAAACAAGAGTGAATACATGGAATGTCGTTTCAGCGGTCGGGAAACAGAATCAGAAGTGGAAGTTAGGATTGACTCTCACCTAGTGCCTAAGGTAGACAAGTTTCGATATCTTAGCTCGGTAATTCAGGCTGATGAGGAGTTAGACGGGGATGTTGGACATCGTGTTGGAGTGACTTGGGCCAAATGGCGGTTGGCTTCAGGGGCGTTGTGTGATCCGAAGATTTCGCCAAGGATGAAAGGTAAGTTCTACCGGTCCATAGTCAGACCTGCTATGTTATATGGGGCAGAGTGTTGGGCGGTTAAGAAGACTCATGTGCGTCGTCTGCATGCGGCGGAGATGCAGATGTTACGATGGATGTGTGGGAAGAGGATGTTGATAGGATTTCGAACGAAGTTATCCGACGTCAGGTAGGCATGGCGCCGGTGGAAGATAAGCTGCGGGAAGCGAGGTTGAGATGGTTTGGTCATGTGAGACGGCGGAATGCTGACGCCCCTGTACGGAGATGCGAGAGGATTACGGTTGTCAGGGGAAGTAGGGGAAGGGGTAGAGCTGGGAAGAATTGGAAGGAGGTGATTAGGCAGGATTTAAGACTTCTCACCCTGACTGAGGATATGGCTTTAGATAGGAACCTTTGGAGAACTAGGATTAGAGTAGCTAGATAGGGGCCCGGTGCTTCAGAGGTTTTTTGTAATGTGTTTTGTTTGGTTGGAAATTTTTGCTATTGCTTGCAGAACTTTCATTCCATTGTACTTGGTTCTTTATCTGTGTTATATTGTGATTCTTATCATATTTTTTGTGCAGTTGGAGCCGGGGGTCTCTTGGAAACAGCCTCCCTACTTCCGAGTAGAGGCAAGGTCTGCGTACACACACCCTTCTCAGACCCTACTGTAGTGGGATTCAATTGGGTTGTTGTTGTTGTTGTACACTAATAGTAAAAAAAGTAGGGCTTTTCAAAATAGGGAATAAAGAACTAAAGTAAATATAGGGGAAAAGAATGAGGGTGCTGCAAGTTCATAGGTCAATGACATCGTGATATGCTCACAATCTCACAACTCTGCATGCTTATGAAAAGGGCGCACTACCTTTATGTGAAATGTACAAATCTACTAATGTGATTAAGAAATTTCTAACCTAATTTTACACGAGGATTGGCAAGTCCAATGTATTCCTCAATCATAAAAGATTCAAAATTTCTAGATGAAGAGCTTTAGGGTAAATAACTAAATTTACACCTTGCAAGCCTAGATTAGTTACAGAGCAACACAATGTTTCACAGGCAGAAATTTTTTAAGTTCAAAAGCGGCAGAATATGAGATGTATATAGGAATGCCATCTCTATATAGTATATATTTTAAAAGAAAACATCACTAGGAATATTCTCTTGGGGATTTGAGGGGGTAGGGGTGGTTCTCATTTCTAATGAAAACAAGAATATAACCCCGCCCCCACACCAAGAAGTAAACATTGCAAACCGCTTTTATGGAAAGAGGATATAGCTTCATATTTCTAAGAACACAAAATATGACCTTGTTGAATGCATCATAAGCACTCTTCCGTATAACCGCGCTTGGTGCATGCATAATTATCAATTGAATTGCCTGACAATGCATTTCATATGTTAGGGAATAACTAAGAGAAAATAAGTAGAGAGCATAAGAATTACCGACAATCCAGCATGAAGAGAGGTTATATATGAGAAGCAATCAAGTTGTTCATTGTGTGCTTTATTACATTCACATTCATCCATAATGCTATGTAAGAAATCAAGAGCATGTGTCCTCAAATCCCACGAAAGTGGAGCACATGAAAAGACATGCTTTAGCATGCCCACTGTCTGCCATCTCTTAGTTGGGTTATTTTGAAGTTCTTTTTTAACCGCAGCTACATCTTCTGCAGCAGCCACAGCTGCCTCGTCAAACTTGTAACCCCAAATTACTGTACCATTATCTCAGTAGAAAAAGATATAATGAGTCTTCAAACGTCAATTATCAGATACATAAATAACTGGCAATGTGTTCATAAACCTGCCAGTGATGCACCATGTTTCACATGAGTACATTGAGTTAAATCATCTTCTCCGACATCTGCACAATGCTCAAGAGGATTTAGTGGATAAATGAACAATGATACAATTTCTAATCAAGCCATGCACTTTCAGTCTAAATGCATTCTTTAGCTTCTCTAACATTCAATCAATAGGACAGATGGCCTATTACTCACCTTGAACCATCATGTTTGAGATCCTATCGACATCAAAACCAGTAATTAGGCCAATATATGAAAAACCACATAAGTGAAGGAAGTGTGATAAATGGATCACAATGGGCAAAAAGTGTGATGTCCTAGCCCTTGAATCTATTGAAACAAGTGCCTGCACATCAAAATGATTTTGTTACGAAAAACAAAAGCAAAAGAAGGAAATTATAGGGCAATAACCAAATCCTCCAAACCAATAAAAATGAATAGATGGAACTTATTTTGTAATTTTATTGAGCAGCAATTACCATCAGCTGCAAGATGAAAAGACCAAAAAAGGCCTGCAACTTTTGCTTATCTGTCTGTTCCTATCAAAAATAAAAATTGAATTGGGTATAAGGCACAACTTAACATTATATAATGGCAGGTTAGATTGCTAGAAGTGTCACTGACCAACTTTTCACAGACAGCCTGAATGGAATTTGCAATGTCAATTGCTTTGAAAAACAAAGTGCCATAATCAGCATCGGGATCTTCATCATCCATCTCCAATGTCGTGTGATTTAAAATGCGAAGAATGACGGGAACTGCAGATTTTACTTGCTGGAATTGCCGTCGCTGGATGCGCAATAGAACTGAAGCAAGAAAGAAAGCAATGAAGACTCAAATCAAATGGTTAAAAAGGTGCTTTTTGCAAGCGAAGCATGAAAATGAGAGCTTTTCTCTTTCAAAAAAAGAAAGAAAAATAAAATGAGAGCTTAAGCATATGTACTTGCACTTGATGCCTGAACACAAAGAAGAATAAACAAACAAATAAATAAAAAGACACTGTAACGATCTAAATACACTAAAATATCTTCAATTACATGGAAAGCATGCAGAGATAGCCCTATTTCTGTTTATCATCTCAACATTAATAAAAGCATGGGCACTCATTCACTCATGTAGTCACGTTAATGATACGTACTCCTTGAAAGTTTACTTCTAATGAAATGAAAATAGAATATGAAAGTACTGGAAAGTGGAAACCCAAAAATGAAACAAGCGGAGTCTGACTGTATAAATGACCTACGAACTGAGCATGACATAAACTAGAGACTTTTCACTTCGTTTGTTTTTTTCACGATAAAGCATATGGAGCTGGTCTGCAAGTTAACAAACAACGATTGATAAAAAATATGTTCATACATTTACATTTTGCAACCCCACTTAACAGAGGTACAAAATAAACAGGAGTCCTTGAAGAATGAACTCATTTCGGGAAAGCCTAAAATGAAATAAGCAGTCTAACTGTATAAGTGACCTGAGACTTAGCATGACATAACCTAGAGATATTCTCAACTCTTTATCCTGTTTTATGTATAAAGCATATGCAGCTCATCCGTGAGATACCAAACTACAAATAATCACACACATTTTCATGCATTTACCTTTTGCAATCCCACTTAGAAGAGGTGCATAATAGAGAGTAGTCCTGAACTGCTTGTCTGGAGAACTTAATGCCTAACAAATAGCAAGAAAAGAAATAACAAAATGCATATAAGTCTAAGCCTAACTACACCTCAGTGACAAGTTAAATCTCATACATCACAAAGAATTGAAAGCATCTCGCGCGGACTGCACTTCTCAAGCAAACTGTCAATAAAACATTCCGCAAGATCGGAACACCTCTTCGATGCGCAAGCAACTCTACACACTGATTTCGGCAACTCAAATGACAGTGTTTCCACCACTTCCTGGAACAACCAAAACAACAGAACAATCTTCAATTCTTTACATATACCGGTAGGTTTATGCGCATTCAATTGATCTGGTACAAAACCTGGCTGAGAGAAGGCGAGGTCATGCATCTATGAATTTCAGTAAGAATTCTGAAGGCTTTTCTCTCGGCGTCTTCATCATCGGCTTCACGCGCGGTAGAATCAGAAACGGGGTTAAGAAAATCGACTAGCTCCGACACTGATCGGTCGGATCCGCTGTAATCTCCGGCTTCAATCGACTGCAGCTTCTACAAATGAGCAATAGGACCCAATTGCACGCACAAATACAGGTAATGAATAGTTCGCTTAGGGTTACCAGAGAGCATGAGGCAAGAAGCTGATGAAGGCGGAGAATGGCGGAATCCGAAGAGCAAGAAGGCGGCGTATCTTCAGCCATCCTCTTCCAATCGAGTCCAAGCCCTTCCAAGAACAGATAAGAGACGCTAAGCTTCGCGGGAAATAACAATATTTGTCATCAGCTTTTTTACTTTCAATTTGACAAGATCAATATTTTATGCTTATTTTGTCCCTAAATATTTATCACATTTTAAAAAATGGAATAAAATATTAATTTTTTTCAATTTATTTTATTTAAATATTAATATAGAAATAAAAAATAAAAATTTATTGAAAAATTACATGAAAAATTCTTCGAAATAAGAGGTGTCAATAACATTTTATTTTATCAAATAATCAATGAAAACGTACAAATCAACAAAAGCTCCCGCGACAGTTGAAAAATCAAATGTGGTAAATATTTAGAGACGGAAGGAGTTTTATCTTGCTAGTTATTTTAAATTAATAAAAAGATTTTAAATCACATTTTTCACTTATTCGCCTAGTTTAATGTGTATTATACGCTGTATAACATTTTAGACTAAGCTTTAGTTGATAACAGAAAAAAGAATTGGTGAAAAAAATTAATTGTAGCATACAATTCCTTTGAGTTTCATCCGTGCGAACGTACTCCCCAGGCGGGATACTTAACGCGTTAGCTACAGCACTGCACGGGTCAATACGCACAACGCCTAGTATCCATCGTTTACGGCTAGGACTAATAGGGTATCTAATCCCATTTGGTCCCCTAGCTTTCGTCTCTCAATGTCAGTGTCGGCCCAGTCTTGATGTACAATTATTAAATACGGAGTATTACTCTTCACTAAATTTTTAAAAATAAAAATAATTTTTTAGATATAAATTATTTATGTTTACTTTTTGGTAAATAATAAATATTTTTAAATAATTTAAAATTTCATAAAATAAATACATTATACAAATATGGCCCTGTGTATTACTCCCTCCGTCTCGGAGTATTCGTCCAATTTTGACTTTTGGAACTGTTCATCTAAGCACTTTGACTCATCAAATTCTCTCAATGTGTAAGCCTAAATATAGTCATGTGTGATCTTGTTTGATTTGTTTTAACATATAGACTATTAATATATAATTTCTATAATTTTTTAATATACAAATTACAAGATAAAATGGATTAAAGAAGTGTATTGGATGGTGTGTAAAAATGAAAGTGGACAAATACTCTGGGACGGAGGTAGTAGAAGTTTTTTTCAATACAGAAGCCCATATATAGTATTCCCTCCACTTTCAACTTTTATTGGTCAAAATTGGTAAATTTTGTCTTCAAATTAAATAAAAACGATATTAGATTTCGATACAAAAATAATTTTATTAGATTTATTATATAAAATGTTTTCGAATGATTATTTTATTTAATTAATATACAATATATATATTATTTCATTATAGATCAAATGTTGAAAATAGTTGAAAAAAGTCAAAACTAGACCAATACTTATGGAGGAAGGTAATTTGCTGTGAGACATGTTTAACGAAAGGTGTAGTGGCGCAAATACTAAGAGTCTTCAATTGAGTTATCATAGATTGTATGTTCAATCCTTAATGCATCTACTTTGTTTTTTAAGACTAAAAATAACATAAATTTAGTTTTAGATCCAAAACCGCGACTCGGTCAAGCTGACTCGGGTCTTACAAGTTTAGGGGTCAACAGAAAAATGATATTGGCTAGTGAACCATATCAGATTGGTATATATATAGATCTTGGTCCAATCAGTTGGACCAGCCGATTCAATTCGATTTTTAAAACACTATATAAGATAGGTTAGGTTCTTTGAAACTTAGAATTGTGGGTATCTATCAAGCGTCCTCTTCTTTACAACTTAGTGCACCACAATTTTTCCCTTTACATTCTCTTTTCTTTTCCTTTTAGGAATGTGGTTCTTCTTTCTTCCTCCTTTCTCTTTTATTTTTTTAATATTTTTTAAACCAAACTTAAAATTAATTATTTCTTAGAAGAAGTCGCATTTACAGACTAACAAAGTTTCACGGCTGCCTCCAAGAGAGTATGTGCCACCTCCACAATCACATCTACAAACAGAGTTTTGGCTTCGTCCAAAGAAGAAAAAGAAATCATCATGATTATATAAAAATAGTAGAATAATATATGAAAAATAGTACTACATATGACTCAGAAAGATGGAGAAAAGTGAAAGTTAATAGTGTTTAAAAATTTAAAAAAAAAAGAATATGAACAAAGTGTGAGAGAAGAAGTTGGATAAGGAGGGTTTAAATTGAATAAAATATAAGTGGGAGAAGTTAATTTTTCTAAATATGGTCATTTAACACCCGAAAAATTGAAATGGTCGAAAAAACACACAGGAAGTAGAATGGTGTAGCTGTCCCCTCCATCCCGCGTCTCGCAAGAGGGGTGGTGTTCCTGTCGGCCTCGCTGACACCATCTCGCGGCTCCTTCGGCATACACGCCCACACGACTTAGAGCTTGTTCTTTATGGTTTGAACTCTTAACTTCGAGTTCCTTGCAGTTTCTTTCAATTTTTTCGAGTTTCTTCCAGTTCTTTCCAGTTTCTTCTAGTTCCTTCCAGTTTCTTCTAGATTCTTCCAGTTTCTTCTAGTTTCTTCCAACTATTCTCATTTTATTCAAACTCTTTCTACTCCTCCACCAATTACTCTAAAAACGATACTCCCTCCGTCCATAAAAGAACTTCCCACTTTCTTATTTGGGATGTCCACAAATAAACTTCCCATTTCTATTTTAGGAAAGTTTTTAGGAAGGAAATGTCCTTCCTACCCTTGTCCCATTTTCTCCTGTTTTCTCTCCTTCATTTTTTCTTTCTTCTTCTTCCTTCTTTCTTCTTCTTTCGTGCTTTACTTTCTTCATTTATCTTTCTTTTTCTTCTCTCTTTCTTATTCTTCTTTCTTCTTCGGTTTTGATTGTTTTTCACTTTTCTCTTTCTTCTTCCTCCTTCTTCTTCCTTTTTCTTCTTCGTCTTTATTCTTCATTTTTTTCTGTTTCTTCTCCCTTATTTTTCTTTCTTCTCCCGTCAACAATATCTAACGGATTGCAGCTTCTTCATCTTCTTCCCTCTATGACGATATTGGATTGCATCTTTCGCCGGAAATAGATTGCATCTAGATCTGACCAGATCTCTAGATCTGACCAGATCTCTAGATCTGCTCAGCGGGCAGCGGCAGCGGGGGCTTTGGACGGCGAGGGGCAGCGGCGGCGGGGACTTTTGAAGGCGAGGTTGCAGCGGCGGCGGGGGGCTTTTGACAGTGAGGAAGCAGCGGTGGCGGTGAGCTTTCAACAGCGAGGGGGCTGCGGCAGGGGCTTTCGACAGCGAGGGGGCGGCGGCGGCGGGGGCTTTCGACGGCAAGGGGGTGGCGGCGGAGGCTTTCGACGGCGAGGGGCAGCGGCAGCGGTACGGTGGGGTGTAGTTGTCAGTGGGGGGAGAGGGCTAAAAGCTTGAGGGGTATAATAGGAAAGTCAAACCAATTTTCATCCCACATAAATTTGCGTGCCGAGTCAAACTGGGAAGTTCTTTTATGGACGGAGGAGTATATTTTAATGCGATTATTATTATTATTATTATTATTATTATTATTATTATTATTATTATTACAACTGTTATGTTCATAGCTATAGTTTATAAATTATTTTTTCATCTCACTATTTTTACGATTCACATTCTTTATCATTTTCTTCAACTTTTTAATATGAATAAGACAATTTTTTGAATATTAGTCTACATGATAAAATAGGAAAACATCAATATGTTAAATTAAATTAAAAAAATTATGGATAAAATAATTACATTGAATGTTTTATTAATCTAACTTTATATAAGATCTCTCAGCTTTCCCTTCATTACTTAAAATTTGCTCATTTTTCTAATATTTATAAAAATTTGTAAGTCAAAATAGTTTAGAGAAAAAGACTAAAACAGGAGTAAAACATAAAAAATGTATAAAAAAAGTTCTATGTCTTTATTCCAAAAATAGGACTTCAATGAAAATAAAATGTCAATCATGAAAGAAATAATAGGTTTGATTACATTATGTGACATGTCTGATATTTAAAACAAAATCTTGTAATATATAAATTATAATTACAAACATATTATTTATTATAAATACTGCATAAATAAATTAGGATGCAATATAACCACAAAGACTTTTTAAAATTTAATATATTTTATATTTATGCTAACTTTATAATATAATTATTTTTTTGCAAAAGTAGTTTTTTGTATTTAAAAAATAATAATACTTTTTTTTTGTATTTTAAATGCATTCATTAAGATAACGTGATGATGATGATGATTACAATGATGATGATGATGTTGATGATGATGATGATGATGATAATATAATTATAATAATAATAATTTATAACAACAAGAATTTTAAAAAAAATGTTTTTAAAGTTTTTTTAGGTTTTCTAATTTTTTTTCCAGTTCCTTCTAGTTTCTTCCAGTTTTTCCAGTTTTTTCCAGTTTTTTCCAGTTTCATCCAGTTTTTTCCAACATCCAGCTCTTTTTTTCCAGTCCTAAAGAATCAGGCCCGAAATCCAATTAAAATATCAATGATACTCTACAACCTAACTAGGTCTGAATCTCCAACCCCTTTAATTTCATTCTCAACCATTTATTGGCTTTGGAGTCAAAATATCTTACTCCCTCCGTCCCTGAATATTTGCCACACTTGTATTCCTGAGACAAAATATTAAACTTTTTCAATTCATTTTATTTACATATTGGTATAGAAAAAAATAAAATTTACATATCAAAAAACTACATGAAAAGTTCTTCGAAATAAGAGGTGTCAAAAATATTGTATTTTATCAAATAACCAATGAAAATGTAGAAATAAACAAAAGTTCCCGCGACTACTGAAAAAACAAATGTTGCAAATATTTTGGGACGGAGGGAGTATTTCTTTTTAGTTCCATCAACTCACAAAAAATTTATTTATACAAATAAAAAAAGGGAAAATTGATGTTTTTTATGGAAAAGGTGATTTAAAATCTTAAAAAATATTGTTTCAATGAGAATTTTTTTTTGTTTTTTGAATTATTCCCAATTATTTTCTTTTTTACATTTAGATTTTCAGAATTCAATTGCTGTTTCGGGTAGTAAATTCAGAACTAGAAGTGAAAGATG